TTTTTAATTCTGGTTCCAAAAATATTAATTCGTGATACATTGACATTACCAAACCTTCGTTATTTTAAAAAAGCAGAATTTCCTAGGTAGGCATTGACATTTTCACATAGTCATTTGTTTCATATACCAAATTTACCCCAAATCACCTTCATTTTTTCCTGACCTTATTTGAGATGGGATTCCAAAATAAGTGCACGTTGTCACTGTTACTTCTTCTCCTCTACAAGATGGCATAGTCAAACTTTCAATTTGACATTTCTTCTTTCGACTTCCATCATCAACTTTGTTTTTTCATAAGGACGCTATATAGGAATTTTGTACTCTTAAATGGATTTTACAGCCCTGTGAATTTGGTTGAATGAAAACTATTAGAAAATGAAAAAGTATGGTGAAACCTGAACACAGAAGGCAAATTTTATTGATGATAATAAGAATAATAGTGATACACGATTAGAGGTAAATCATAACAGATATTCAAAAGTTTGTCCGTTACTTTGTGAGCAAAGCCTGACTCTCCTCTGTACATTGTTGCTCGATTTATTTCTCTACTTGTCAGTCTTCCAAACTCCATTGCCACGTTCAATTCGAGGTCTAGTCTGGTATACGAAACCAACTAAATCTGATAAATTCAAGGTCTACCTAGGACTTACTATTTTTCTGGAATAACTGAGGTTTGGTAATATCGATATGTTACATATTACACATTTTAGAAATCAAAATTAAAAACTCTACTCATCTGCGTAAAAATCCAATATAGCATCCGTAAGAAAAAATAAAGTTGATGCTTGGGGCCAAAGACGAAACGTCATAACGAAATTCTGATTATGCCATCTTGTAGAGAAGAAAAAATGGCAATGTTAGCATGTAAATGAAGCTGGGAAAAATTAAAGTGACTTTGGGCTTCTGCCTGCGCGGCTACTTCGATATAAAAAAAAATCTTGAAATCTTGAAACAAATGACTATCTGATAATTTCAAGGCCCACCTAGAAAATTGTCTTTTTTTTAAATAACTGATGGTTGGCAATTTCAATGTATGACGTATTATACAGTTTTGGAATCAGAATTGAAACTCTATTCATCTGTGCAAAAACCCAATATGACGTCCATGAGAAAGAATAAATTCCATGGTGGAGGACAGGAACCGAAGCGTCATATTGAAATTACAATTATTCCTTCTTGTAGAGGAGGAAAAGTGGCAATTTATTTTAAAATCAAACTACAAATAAATTCAAGAAAAATTATAACGATTTTGGGCAAATTCTGTTTTTTCCGTCTCTTCCGGGAAGTATTTCGGATTTCGAAACTTTCTAAGCCGCATTTTGTTGATTACCTAAGTACGCAGCCTTGCTCCCATTTAAGCGACTTCGTATCTCTTACAGTCTCCAGTTTCTGAGATCCCAATGGTGAGGGTCGAATTTGAAACGCCCTGTATATGCTAAAATTCGTCAAGGTCGGTTCAGCTGTTTTGAAGTGAAAACGGAACATGGCACACGTGGCTTTTGTTGCTATTCGCTGGGTGCCTGGGTGCGTGGCGGATGTGCTTGATACATGCAATATGAAAACAAACTAAAACAACAGACATTTAAGCCCTGTTCGTACGGCTGTCGCCAACTTGTCAGTGATCGTGTCCAAGATCTCGCCACACAAATTACGTTTACTCTGCCAGACTATATAGATGGAAATCACATCGCCGGATCCCAGACACCGACAAGTCGAACGACGTTGATTTGAGTTGAGGAACAATATAAATTTCAATCGAACAATTCTCTTTTGACCTGACAAACGATGTAGAAGGGATCATATTCCACTGTCAGTTCGATGATGTCTTATTTTGTCCACCGCATGTTAAGTCTTAGATGTCTTTAGACCCATTAACTTCACAGAAGGACAATCAAACACCCAGGCAGGACTTCAATAGGAAGGATCCCTAGCCAGAACAGCAGCGTGTCTGGCAATGCAAACATCGAGGAGGACTAATGAGCCTTTGTAATTTAGGATCAGCGTCTTTTCCGGAATGCTTCTAGTAAAGTATACAGACTGGAAACAGTAGAGTCACTTGTGGTCAAACCATATTCTTCTTAGTGAAGGGCGTTTATGCGTTTACATTAATTGTCAAGGTTTTGATGTAGACAATGCGTGGACAATGTCAACATTACGTATACAATGCAAACAAGTGAGGTTAAGTTTCCTCTCAAACGTCAAAATATTAATGAACCAGAGTCGCTTTCCATTGCCGCATTTGTGGTACTCGGAGTAAGTCGGTACTGCCTACCACCTGTCAATACCATTTCACTGCTCTAGAGTGTCATGCACCTGAGCTACTCATTTTTGAAATCCCCTGCCCCCTGATGCACTAGCTTTTTAGTCGGTGATATATGCTCCGAAATAGTGGGGATATCGAAAATGACAATGTGTCAAGATTGTAAGGTTATGTTTTTTCACCGTTTTTGTTTTTTTTTTGTATCAAGCTCGCATTAAACCGATACCAGACAACGGAGGATGGTAAAAAAATGAAAATGTATGACCACAACGTACATTTGAGATATTCCTGAATAATAAAGATCACAGGAAAGCGTAAAAAGGAAAGTTCATAGCGGCTTGTAGTTGACTTCATCAATAGATAGACACTTTGAAAATAATTTTGAATATGAAAATATGAATTCGACGCATTTACCCAGAAACTTTACAATAATAATGCAGACCACTGTGTTACGTGCCAAAATCACGTAACCTTTTTTCTTACTATTTTGATCACTTATCAATAATTTGAATTTCTCTTTATTGATTATGGAGTACCGATTCCTAGACCAAACCCTTTTTCAATGATTTTCTTTTGGCAAATTCCATAGATTGTTGATTGTATAATTTCACACGTATTATATCTTTCTTTCTCAGCGATGCAGTATAGTGTTGAAATCTTTTGGTATCTAATGTTATAGTATTATTAACGACTATCTTCGAAATTTCCTCATAAAATTTTGTTGGTTCCTCAAAGAGAGTTGGCAACCAGTGCGTCATCTTATGACTTTACACGTACTAGCAGTATAGGAATACTTGGTTCTATCAAGATACCTCCTTCAAGGCAATGCATTTAGCCTTCTTTTAATGTTTACTTTCCTATCAAGATACGTTCTGTTAAAATTTGATTTACTATCAAGATACCTTCTTTTGAAAAGTGATTTACTATCAAGATACCTTCTTTTGGTTGCGTATATATGCGCCCAGCGACATTTTTGCTTTTGCCTTCCTGCGGAGATTGTGGTGTGGGTGTCGTTTCATTAGTTTCCAGATTCTGGATTTATGGAGTAGTACCCTTTTATTTAGTACCATGCGATTAGTTGTTTTGGTTTTTGGTCATTGTCCTGAAGAAAGTTGCTTAATATTTGCTTCCTTTTAGTGGAAAACCATTGCGGAGAACCACCATTCACCATTGTTTTGTAGCTGCCTTGTAGCTGTTTCGCAGCCGATTCTGTTGGAAGCCATCCCTTTCCCTAGATACCTGAAATTCTAAAAGCATCATCAGGCATCAATTGGATTGTCAGACAATTCTTCTGAAAATAAAGGCAAAATGTGTTCCACATTTTCGTTGTTACTTTGGCCGTGTGATGCAACTTGTCAACGTCAAACCAAAGCATCAAAGAACAGGTTAGGTTTTTATCGTTGCGTTCCCGTGCACGTTTGTTAGAGTAGTTCGGGAGCGTCACACTCCGGGTTAATACAACTCTCAGTTCAAAAGCACTGGAAAGCGGCTCAGCAACTACGAAAGTAATATTGAGTGCACTATAGGATAATAAAATCGATGATTTTAGGTTCATTTTGTTCAAAGATTTAAGAGAATGTTCCGTCGAGTGGTGTACAGATACACAGAGAAGTTGTCTTATCCATGTCGCTTGAAATCTCACAGGTAGATTAACTTGTATTAATGACAGATAACGGCCTTGGTGGTCTAATTAATAGTGATTCTGATGACTTTGAATAAAATCAGTCAAATGGCTCGATTCTGTTTCCGGAATATATTTTATTTAATCTTAGAAATGTCCCTAACTTAAGGCTACCACGTTGAATATATACATACATAATAGATATAATAGTAATAATAAACCGCTTTTATTGATTTTCATTAACAAGGAAATATGATAATATAATACAATAACAGTGGCGAAGTCTACCTTAAGCTGTTCTACTTAACCTCAGGACGGCAGCGCCCAATGAGTACACAATTAGGCCAGAATTAAATCAAAGAATCGAAGAAGTAGATAAACAAAAAAATATATGGTATATAAAGTTTTCCAAGACGAGTTTAGTGACAGAGGCATTCGCAAATAAACATACAAGTAGTTATAATGCCTTTGACTTTTTGCTATCATAACGAATTTATACCGACAGGAGCAATAAATTTTATGTTAAAGATAGACCTAACGACTTTTGATATCCACCTAGATCTATAAACAATAATGAAGGAATAAAAAAGAATTGAATTTGATGAGTATTATCTTTGATCCTACGGCATATCAAACAAATAACGTTTTTAAAAGCTTGAACCTTTGTGGAAGCTGTTTATACATCCTGATCGCATTATATATGAACGATCTTTGGAACATGGCTGTCTTATGCTGAGGAGCTGTGAAGTTTCATTCTGATCGTTCAGATGGTGAGCAAGTTTGCGAGGTATGAAATGTCTAACTATTCCTGGAGGATTTGGATTGTTGACACAATCTATGCGTAAAATTACACAGGTGAAGGCGCTATTACTCATGTTAAGCCATTACCTCTCTTTAATTTCGTGCGATATTGGGTCATACTTCCTGATTCCATATGCCAGCTTACAACAGCTATTTTGAACTCGTCGCATTTTCAAAAACAACATAAATCTACAATGGTTGAAATGGCTAAGCACTAAGGTACCGCACGATGTTTTAATTAGATTCCTATTTAGAATGTCAACTGCTGTAAATGATGATGTTATCTATATTTATACCTTTTCTAATTATCCAAAAATCACTTTCATAGGGGTTGCATGTATGGAAGCGAGCTAATTGAACTAACATTTGCTATTACATTTTCTACTTTGTTTACAGTATCTACATGAATACCAAGTGGTATGAAATTACAAAACTGTACACGTGTTACTATGGTGTCTTTTACATGGTGTAGAAAATTGCAGCTGCCTCTGTTATTTTAATAAGAAGAAGAGAAAAAATGTTGAGCTAAAAAACAACAAGAGAAGGATGTGGGTTAGGAGCTGGATTTCAAGAAGACATGATAGTGGTTTTTTTGCACAATTGGTGAAAGAATTACACAGCGAAGACATGAATTCATACGCTAACTTTTTACGCATGAGTAATAAGGACTATGAATACTTGCTTCAAAAAGTTGAACCATTGATTAGAAAACAAGATACTCATCTTAGGCTAGCTATTTCACCTTCAGAACGGCTCATGCTTACTTTACGGTTTAGCAACAGGTGAGTATTGAAAGACATGATTGCTTTCTAGGATGTATTTAACTTGAAAAGCAAACAAAAACAACTTCTAATTAAATCATTTTTAATTGTAGGAGATAGCTATCATTCCCTGTAATACCTTTTTTGGATTCCAGTCACAACCATTTCAAGGATTATACCTGAAGTTTGTGAAGCGATATTTACTGTGCTGAAAACGGATTATCTCCAGGTAAGTCATTTTCGTAAAACTGCGTGATTGGAGGAAGGTTTGTAGTTGTATTTGTTATCGGTGCCTCTTCAAACTTTCAACCGTATTTGAAGTTGATGGGTATGTACTCGAATGTGAATAAGTAGGCGACATTAAAGGTGTAAGTGTTCTTGATCCAGAAAACTCCACTTCATCTTCCTCGCTCATTGCAACTATAGCTTTCTGGATTATTCGTTTTAATCTTCTTTTTCGTTCATCAGAACGCAGCTGCCGTAATTCACTAGCAACATATTCACCAAATACGGTATACTCGTCAGTTGGTGCATTTAGTATGTTTTTGGCCTTTTCTAGCATTGCATCACCTTCCTCGTCCGTTTTTTCCTTGGCTTTGATTTTTAGTTTTTTCGAACGATGAGTTGTAGTATTTGATGTTGTTGGTTTTTCTATGCTTTGTAATTGAGACTCCTCCAGAAAATCTTCCTCTTGCGACGAAATCTGAAGTAAAACAAAAGTAGCGAATAAGCTTATTTATAGTTTTGTAATATTACTTTTTCTTTTAGATCCCAAACTCTCAGGAAGAATGGTATGAAGTTGCAAAGGGATTTGAGGAGATTTGGAATTTTCCAAACTGTTTAGGTGCTCTAGATGGCAAGCACGTGGTTATGAAAGCACCAAGGAATAAAGGCAGTCTTTATTTTAATTATAAAGGAACACATAGCATAGTCCTCATGGCACTAGTTGATGCAAAATACAAATTTCTTTATGTGGATGTCGGATGCAATGGACGCATATCTGATGGTGGCGTGTATGCAAACTGTTCATTGTCAAGATGTTGAATCTGAAGATGCACCTTTGTTGTTATTGCCGATGATGCTTTTGCCTTGACTTCCTATTTATTAAAACCTTTTCCTTTCAGAAACCCGGATTTGATCGGGTTTTTAACTACAGAATATCAAGAGCAAGGCGTGTAGTTGAAAATGCTTTCGGACTGATCTCGGCTCGATTTCGTGTTCTTAGACGACCAATAGACCTACCTCCAGAGAAGGTTAAAAAAATTGTACTTGCAATATGTTCTTTGCATAATTTCTTACTGACCCAAAAAAGTCGGCACATTTATATGCCCCAAATGGAATACTCGATACTGAAAATGATGGGAACGTTATCAATTGGAGTTGGAGAAATGGAGGAGATCCTATAGCTAATATGGTTGCTTTACAGACTACAAATGTTAGAAACCCATCGAAACCAGCCAAGAAGTACGAGAACAATTTAAAAATTATTTTGTATCCAAACATGGTGAAGTCGCCTGGCAAGTATAAATATATATAAACATAATACCATTTATCTGCTTAATGTAATATATGTTTCTAATGCTGAAAAAATGTTTACTCGCCGTATCCCTAAAGCTTGCAGTGCTTTTGGTGCTCCCAGAGCCACCCATCATGAACTGTAACGCATCATAAAATTCCTACTTACTTTTCCACAGTCTATCATCAGTTCCATCTCCACTTTGTTTTTTTTTAATTTTCCTTATCTCCGAATTCATTTGACACCTTAAATTATGCCATTTTCTTCCAACTTCGGCTTCAGTGTGTTTTTACTGATCTGCTATATTTTTTATAGCTTGAGCCTTTTTATCCCGATCTCTGTACTCCTTCAATATGCAATTCCAAAGTTCTGGATGTGCCTCGTACATCTCAATTAGCTTGAGAGTACTTTCTCTGTCCCATTTCATAGCTTTTTGGTCATTTACACTTGGTGGGGAAGCCATGCTTTCAACTAATCTATTTAACTCATCGAATAGAGCGAAACAATGCGAGAGTGATCTAGAGAACTAGTCTCAGTACTGTGTCCACTACAACCCTACCTAGACTAACGTCGCGCTACCGAGAGTATTACGCCACACTCGCTAGAGCAGTCTCAGTAATAAGTACACTATAGACTTAGTCTAAAGCGACTCTAGCTAGCGCAAATCTCGGGGAAAAATCTATAGTGTACACGTACCATAGAGCGTAATTACATTTCGTTTCATCCCTCGCAAAACTGACGCCAACGCGGGATATCTAAATTCGCGCAGTCCAATTCGTCAGCGGACCATAAATGCTTGGGCAGTAGATATCGATATCGTTATATCTGAATATTTGTCATAAACTAATACCGTTACTTTTTGATATCGATGATTCAAAACCTTGACATGAGCGCAATTTATAGCGGGGTCACCTTAATTAAAGCGTCTGACAGAACTTAAGGCCGGCGAGAGGTGTACTGGACATTACTTTGTAGTACTATCTTAAAAGTATACGGAGTCTCTCAAATTTAATTCTCTCCATTGGAGCCCCAGCAATGGTAAGAGATATGAAGTTGGTTGAATGGAGGTAAAGTTTCGTATTTAAAATATTAAGAAAATGGCAAGGTTTCGCAATTCTTACTATCTCCGAAAGTAACCGAATTATCCCAAATGCGTTTTTATTTCTTCCTGGCTTTATTCGAGATAGGAGTGCAAAATAAAAAACGTCATAATTGCCACTTGTTCTTCTGTACAAGATGGCATAATCAAAATTTTTAAATGATGTTTCGTCTCTTGTCCTCAATCATTGACTTTACTTTCTCTCATAAAGGCCTACTAAATATTTCCAAAAATGTATAGTGCGTCATGCATTGACATTGTCAACTTGAGCTTTTAGACAAAACTAGGATTGCCTTAGTTGGCTTTGAAAATGATCTTACCAGATTAAATAACCAATGCTTAAATTTTTTAGAAGCGTGTTTGAAGGACATTCAGATAATTTGCTCATTTATCCACTAAAACGAGCGTAATTTTAGCAGGATGGAGGCAATGGTATTTAAATGCAAGATGTGTGCATCGGTTTAGATATGAGGGATATGAAACGTGTTTAAGAAGCAGCAGCATGGTCGGGACTTATTCCAAACCGCTTCTATGAATTGTATAAAGCAATACTATTTATAATGCTTGCAATACGACTTTTAATAATACTCGTACAAGAGAGTTTTAGCATTAACTTTTTCTTTATCGGATGAGTTAAGGTCAACTACTCGTATAAGAAGAAAACTTTTTAAGATTTTTCAAATTTTATAATACTAATCCATGTCATGATATGTACGGTGAGCCAATAATAAGAGGTAATATCTCGGCAACCGCTCAACCTATAGCCTTCGGTTAAAAAACGACCAAAAGAAATTGCTGGAAATTTTCAGCTAGGTGGCGCCATACCGATTTCAAAAATTGAAACGCAATAATTTTGCAAAAATCATAATTAACATACTCATTAAATGGTCTTATCGCACTGACAGCTCCATTTCCAAACTATTTTGTTTGTCATTTAGGTTTTTCGGGCTGTTGAGCCGTGGTCGGATTGGATTTGATCCAGGGCTTTCTGGAGTCCCTTGAGTGACGTGTCTTTTGTGCTGTGTTTTTTAGAATTGGGAACCACGTTTTTTTAAGCAAAGCCTTCTTCTTTTCTATTGAAATTATCATTGTGTCTGTACATTTCAATTGCTTCTCTGTACATTCTGGCTGAGTAATGTGTGGATCTTGAACAGAGCTAGCAATGTTCCTATATCACCTAAATAGCATTTATTCACAATGGAGATAGAAGAGGACAATCAACTGGCCTTGCTGGACGTGCTGGTGGTCAGACGAGAGAACTTAAAGCTGGGTCACAGAGTTTACCCGCAAAGCAACAAACACTGACAGATATATACACAGGGACTCCAACCATCATCCCGGACAAAAAGAGGCGTCATTAAAAATTTAAAGACAGGGCGGCAATACCTGCGAGGGGAACTGGTTTTACATGTGAAAATGGTTTTATAAGCAGACGGCTATCGGAGGGAACAAATAAAACAGGTTTCACGACAAGAAAGCAGACTTCCGGCAGGAGACAAGGAACCACGTACGAGAATATCCTTCCTACCATACATTAAAGGCATTACGGATAGAATAGGAAGGTTGCTGCCGGAACACAACGTCAAGACTATCTACAAGCCGACAAATGAAATCCAGCAACTTCTAATAATAATAATAACAATAATAATAATAATAATAATAATAATAATAATAATAATAACAATAATAATAATAATGTCAGAAGGCGTGAAGGCGGGAGAGGACTGATAGAGCTTGAGTCTGCTTTCAACTCGGAGATAGTTCAGCTAAGCGAATATATAAGATCCAGTAACGATAAGCTTCTGAAAGCTGTTAGGCATCATGATGAGAAAAAACTGAAATACTCGCTTCACAGGGAAGCTATAAAAATCAAAGCTAAGTATCTCAATACTGATGGGTTCGGTCAAAACATAAAAGACATGATGCGCCGTAAAATCGAAATCGAAAAAAAGCAAGTCTTGAGAAACAAGCCTCTGCACGGTCAATTTTTCAGAAACCTCGATAAGCCATCCATAGACAAACAGGCGACAATGGCGTGGTTACAGAGCTCTGGACTAAAGGGCGAGACTGAGAGTCTTTTAGTTGTAGCACAAGACCAGGTACTAAAAACACGATATTATACAACAAACATCTTGAAGCAGACAACAGACAGCAAGTGCAAAGTATGTGGTCAGGCAGAAGAACATATCAGTCACGTAATAGCAGGTTGCAAGGTGCTGGCACCCAGCGAGTACACGCACAGGCATAACAACGTCGCTAGCTATGTCCACAGGACCATATGTAAAGATTTAGGGTTGCCCGTGGCTAGCAAGTAGTACGAGCACGTTCCAGAAAAAGTACTAAGTCTTAAAGACAACACCACTGTCATGTGGGACGTGCCTATTATCACCGATTGAACAATCCGAGCAAATCGGCCTGATATTGTGATTCACAACAAACAACAAAAGACCTGCCTTCTGCTAGATATCGCACTACCTGATGACACAAACGTGCTGCTGAAAGAATCTGAGAAGATCTCAAAATATAAAGACCTAGAGATAGAGATCAGTAGAATGTGACATGTTAGAGCTAAAACTATCCCATAGTAGTGGGCGCCCTGGGAACAATTAAAATAGGTCTAAACAACTATTTTCAGATGTTACCAGGCCGGCCCAAGGAAACTGAAATCCAAAAGATTGCATTGTTGGGTACCGCACATATCCTAAGGAAAGTGCTAGGGTAAATATCTCAGAGCTCCTGTCGAGCTCCGTGTTTACTCCTGAAACCGTCCAGAGACGAGAGGAAACAAACAGACCAACAATAATATAATAATATATTTATTTCCAACAGGTATACACCCAATCACAGGAAATTGGTGAAATCAGAACAAAATGGTACTATATATACACATGTATACACACACATATATACATATATATACATATACACATACATATATATAGACAATGAATCAAAAACTAATAACAAAAAAAAGAAAATAGAAAAACATCAGTGATCTGAATGAACACATAATGCATAGGTGTATCAACAATTAAACATTTCTAAAAAAAAAAAAGAGAAGAAAAAAACATAAAAGTGCTCCAATTGAAGAATAACAATAGATGACACCATCAACAAAACCATTTATCTCAATTGCTCCCTGTAAATGTTTAATATTTTATTAAGACTGTCGTGACATACATCAGCTCTGTTACAGATTGAATTGAATAAGGTACACATTACCATTACTGGGGATCTGCATAAATATTCGTCCGTGGTGTATCACAGTAAAATATGTGATTATGCCGACCAACTAATCTGGGAGCATGAAAATTAATCTTGCTCAGTAGGAACCCACAATCAATATGATTATTCATTAACTTATAAAGGAATGTGAGAGCTTGAGCGTCACGACGATTCCTTAGTGATTCAATGCCAAAAAACTCCAATAAAACGTCATGATCAAATCCTCTCTCTGGGTATCTACCACTGCACTAAAAACACCAATACTTAGAGCTTTACGTTGTACAGCCTCCATTTTACCGATTGCATCCTGATATAGAGGGGACCATACTAAGGACGCATACTCTAACTTAGTCCTGATAAATTAAAGATACAATATTCTTAAACAGTCCACATTAGAGAAACCGGACCAGTTACGTACACAATAACCCATCAACCGTGATGCAGATGATACTGTAACGGTTTCACCGTCCAATTGTATTTATTAAATCACTTCTCGATTTTCATTTCAGAATCGCAACTCATTAAGCCCATCTCTAGCTTTTTTACTTGGAAAAATTTCCGCTTGGAGCGCGCTTGATGCGGGCAATAACATCCACGTGTTGAGTTCCTGATGTGTGATCTTCCTCGCGCTTTCTTTTCACTTCAGCCGCCGATCTAACAACCACTGAGAATTTTGTTCTCTGTAGCATGAGGTCATATGGCACCATGTGCTAGCATTTAGTAAAATGTGTGTCTGAATAGGATAAAATGGTGAGTTTTAATATACTATACAGTTTTATTGCTGGATCTGCCTGTAGTTTATAGGTAATCGATATGTTAGTGGTTTATCTCTTGTACGATTTCAAAATATCCATCGAACGTCATTTTCGACTACTTCGATCATTTGCCATAACTTTAATCAAATCGAGGTAGAAATCGATCCACATCGATTTTACCTCTGTGTGCGTATATATATATACATATATATATTCATAGTTCAGTGAAATTATGAGTACGTTGATTATGAATATATTTGATATTGTGTTTTTATATCAGAAGCATGTGGAAAAATTTTTGATGACCACCATCTTGTTTTACGCTATTTTGCTATTTCATGATTTTATTTTATGAAAGGCATTTCCAATTCTCGGTTTGATTTTATCAAACTATGTAATGTAATTCTAACCTAGAAAATCGTTGGTTCTCTTTTGAGGCAGACTGAGATTGGAAATGCCTTGGCCATTGGGGCACGTTGCTAATGCACACGGTTCTTTTCAGATTGGGGCCACCCCCTTTGTCTTTGCCTTTGCCTTTGTCTTTGACTTTGCCTTCCTTTGTCTTTGACTTTGACTTTGCCTTCATCCATACTTTGGCTTACCTATTGCTTGGCCTATCACTTTGCCGTGCCTTCACCCATGCATGTGCCTTGGCTGCGCCATCACTTACAGCTTCAGCCTTGATGAAAATCACCTTTAAGCTCAACTTCACTGCATCCTTCGCCTACATCTAGTTTTGAAGCCACTAAATATGAGGTCACCCCTCATAACTGGGACCTCCACTTAAAGCCCTTGGCCATCCTCGCTTCAGTCCAGTCAAAATGGACCAGCTTAGCGAAAGATAAGTGGATAATCTTGTAACAGCGCCAAAGATTTAAATCTTTTATTTTGTTCTTTAAAATTTCAACAATGTTAATTCTCAAATGTAATGAAAATGCTTTTCTAGTTCAATAAAATCTGTTGAATTTTTGTGTTCTGTTTGTTCTTCTATCCTCTGTCATGCCATGGTCGACACACAGCTACACGCCTGTAGATGTCTTCATGCCACCGACTGAGCAACCGGAAGCTAATGGTAACCCCCTTTCTGTGATTGTGCAGAAAGTTGGAATCTTCATTGCATTCCATCTTTTCTGGACTTTTTGCGGAAAGGAAGGATTACAATACAATATCTGCTATGTGATCGTTAAAAGTGAGTTTGTTATCGAACACTACACTCAAGTCTTTAAAACTTGAATCTCTTCCTAAAATGCTTTCATTAAGGCTATAATTGTATATGATGGGGTCCTGCTTCCGACTATACGACACCACTTTGCATTTTTTGACATTTAACGTTAGCAGATTTCTGCTGCACCATTCATATATGAAGTCAAGCTTGCTTTGCATCTCCACACAGTCACTCGAAGAGTGAATTGGCGAAAATATCTTCAAGTCGTCAGCAAAAAGCAAGTGCATACAGGTTAGCTGCAAAGATAGATCGTTAATGAAAATAAGAAATAACAAGGGTCCTAAGTTCGAACCTTGTGGAACTCCAGATGTTGCTGTATAAATTTTGGACTTACTTCCACCAAATTCAACATATACTGACCTATCAGCAAGGTATGACCGTAAGAGAGTCAACATAGAGGCTGATAATCCTAACGCTTCAAGCTTTGCCAGCAATATATAATGATCAACCGATCAAAGGCCTTGGCAATATCTGTGTATATCACGTCTAATATCAGTAAAGGACCCTAGGGACCCCCTGAGCGGTGCCGGCATATACAGAATACCGTGTTTCTGTGATAAAGCATACGTAGGCACCACTTAATGTAGCTTTCAAACACGCATCAAGGAGCATGAGAGAAACTGTCGTCTGGGAAAAAATGATAAATCAGCGGTGGCCGAACACGCACTCCAAGACGACCACAATGTTCTGTTCGATCAAAATGAAGTCCTATCAACCTCTACCCACTACTCAGCCCGAATCTACAGAGAAGCATTTGAAATCTACAAACACAATGGGTGGTATGAATAAAAATGAAGTACCTTCTAATACTACAAGTATTAGCATTTTCTACAAAGTATGTACTTCAAATCTGAGAAGAAGCTACATTTCAAGTAGATACTTTTTGTTTTACCGGAACTTACTATATCAAGTAGTATTTACTGAAAGTACCTACTTCTTGTAGTAGATGCTACTAATTTGAAGAGGAATTTAGTATATGCTTGACTTTTGCGAAGTTGGTATAAGTGCAACTTCAGAGAGAATACTACGGTTAGTTTTGTTTAGTTTTCTTTGAAAATGGAAGGAATACGCAGCAGAAAAATATATAATGCAAGACGCCGCTATCATAATGATATTTTATATCATAAAATATTTCGGTAATTTAACAATAATATTATTATTGTTTTTAATTACTTTTAAAATTGTTATTCTTTTAGGTTTAGTAGAGAAAACGTATCTTACCTAGCGAATATATTTCTCCCAGAAGTAAATGAAACTCGAGGCGGGTGCTCTTACACACATCCAACAAATGGAAGTATTTTTAAGAAGCTTAGGTATGTTTCAATAAATGAAATAGGATAAATAATCTAATTTTTATATATTTATTTCAGGAGTCCCTGGATTTCAGCTAGGCGTTGGACTTGATGTTGGGATTCATCAAACAACCGTTTCAAAAATTATTGATAAGGTATCACGTGAAATCTGTAGCAAGAAAAATCAGTGGGTTAAATTCCCTGCTACGGGAGCTATGTTCAACAGAGCTAAAGATGAATGGGCAGCACATAATACAATACCTCATGTCATTGGCGCCATTGACTGCACTCACGTGAAAATTATAAAACCATATGTACATGGCGATGAATATATTAACAGAAAAGGAGTTTCTACAATAAATGTACAAGCAACATGTGATAGCAGAGAAATGTTTACCAGTGTTGATGCTTCCTGGCCTGGGTCTGTTCATGATTCTAGAATATGGTACAATAGTCCTATTTACCCTATTATGTATAATAATCAAAAAAGAGTTTGTCTTTTGGGTGATTCTGGATATGGTGTAACTCCTTGGATGCTTATACCTTTCAAAGATCCCATAACAAACATTCAAAAGTATTTTAACAGAATACATGCAAGAGAACGTGTGATTATAGAAAGATGCTTTGGCCAGTTAAAAACAAGATTTCCTATGTTGAATTATACAATCCGACTTAAAACAGATAGAACATGTCGATATATTATGTGTGCATTTATTTTACATAATTGTGCAAAGTTTTTGAACGATCCAGATGAACATTTTGATGAAATGAACATAGAAGAAGAAGCAGTTATGCCTGAATTATATGCCGAACCAAACAACGGTGAAGTCCGACGCCGAGGTATCCAGTTTAGAAATGAAATTGCAACACTAATGTACAGACAGCGTTGAAAAAGTAAATAAATATTTGGATTGTTTGGATTTTATACATATTTATATTATGAAGGTTCTGACAAAATAATTTAACCTAATAAACATGTTATACAAATAATAAACATAAACCTTATTTCTCTTTTAACAAAAAAAAAAACATATTAATCAGTAGGTATTTTTGAATCCAAATGAATTCAAAGCTCGCCTGTTGTCGTGCAAAGTAATCTTCTACGAATTGCTCTACAGCTCCTGCGGCCCTTTCGACAGCTAGAGCGGCCTTTTCTTGAGCTATAGCAGCTTTTTGTTGAGCTGCGGCAGTGTTGATTTGTTGAAGTAGTAATTTCTTTCGTAATTTAGCCATTAATTCTTTATCATCACAAAATGGTATTTGATTCTCTTCATCGGTCAATGATATATCAACGTCTTGACTGGTGCCCGCAGTTACACCTCCTAAAACATTATTAAATTAAAAATTTGCACCACAATAGTATTATGATTTTATATGGAGGAAAAGTGATTTTATGACGAGCCTGAATTAGACAGCCATGAAAATTAACTTTTCCTCCAAGTAAAATATGCTGTTTTTCTTCAAATGTCAAGAAATTAAACGCGGAAAAGTAAAAAGTGAAGCTCCGCCTGATGAAAAATAAAACTTCGTGGCCGCATACAAGTCAAGCAATAAATGATTTACTGACGTTTGAAGAAAAAATATATAATATCAAATAATACAGTACCTGGCACTTGTTGAATTACTGGATTCTCACTCCCATTCCATAGGTTGAAAAATTTTTTTTGCCACTCATTTAACTTAATTTTCCTATTTGCTGTTTTCTTCATATCGGTAATATTTTTAATTTTACTTTTCATATTATTAACTTTTTTAATACCTGTTTGCATCTAAATTTTGTTTTGTATTTCTGTTATACGTCTCTGTGAATTCTTTAAGTGCTTTGTCTTTGGCAGACTTAACGGGAGGTGTCATTTTTTTATCCAGAATAATTTTGTAGTCTTCTAACATCGTAACAAAGGCTAACTGCAAATCTTCATTTTGGGACTCTTCTTGATTTGGCATTTCCTCGTCGGAAGACATTTTAACGCGCGTGCCGTACAATACCAAGTATGTGAATATTTCAAATAAAATAAAACAACAAGTGTGACCTGTCGAAACTTGTGGAAATGAGAAGATGCTACTCAATTTAAAGCATTTACTTCGGAATAAAAGTAGATACTACAGGGACGATAGTAAGTACTTCGACGTAAAGCAAATACTACCGGAACTGATTGGATACTTCATGGCGAAGTATTTACTTTGAAGTAGATTCTTAAAATTGTAGTATAAGCATCTACTTCGTTTTTATTCATACCTCTCAACTTCAATAGAGAATAAGAAGGGCTTGCTTTAAACAAAACATGGTCCTCAATTCTGAAACACACAGCAGAACAACCATGTCACTCAAGAAACCAGAGCGCCCCCACCAGACAGCTCAGTACCCAGTCCGCCTATCGCCTATGAAACCCCGCCCCCATGCAGTTGACTGATCATTGTCACTTGACCCCGCCAAGCCGAGCACTTCGCTCTCGCCACCACTAATGATGGCTACCGCAGATGTAGCCGAAAGCTCTGGAACAAATCCAACAACCCGAGCACGGTCAACAGCCCAAAAAATCTAAATGACATTAGAATTAGCCGTGTATTCTTTTCATATTTTGCTTAGTTTATGGTGAAGGAATGGTTGATTGATATTTTAAAAAAAGTGCTGACAAATGATCAATTTTGCCGGATTAGTTCATTTTGTGGCCGCTAGATGGTGCTTCTTAGATATGTCCAGCGTTTTTTTTTGACAATATCGGAAGTTCCAAAAACAGCGATATAGTTGATCGGAAAATGCGTAACAAATCCTGGAAATGGCAAAAACCGTAGATCAACATCTTTATTCGTTATGTAAATTATACCAATGTGACACGGTTTTATCTATTTTAGAATTTATTTTCATGTTTTTTCATAGCCGCTGAGGAAGCGCAATTATCGCTGGATGTATGGAAAACGTTCTTTCTTCCATTATACCTGATAGTTATCGCAGTTGTCTTTGCTATATGAACAATTCATGAAATGCCGTGTTTTCTATCTATGTCTTCTATTTAGATTCACTAAGGGTGTGAATTATATAATCTTACATCAGTATTATAGCGGCTGTTTCGTTTCTGAATGAATCTTAAAATTAGAGGCATCCTAGCCACCATAAGGAGCCAGTGCATAGGCCGCTTAAGCGGGCCCTTATGCAAATCCACAATCCTTAAATCACAAGCCTCGTCCTTTTAACGAAGTTGAGAATCGCCTTGAGTCCAAGCTCCTTGACCTCCTGAGGGTCAAAAGGAATGGAACCCAGTATAGTCTGCCTATAGTAGCTCAGAGCTTCACAGCGACACAAAACGTGCGCCGAGGTCTCTTCCTCTACTCCGCAGCGTTCGCACAAGGGATCCTCAGCCACCCCCATCACGTGCAGGTGACGCCTTAACGTGTTATGGCCAGACAACAGTCCCACCAGCATCCTTAGGTTGGCTCTACCCAGAGATAGGCAGAAGCGTCCATCCTTAGCACTGTTTCGTTTAACAGGCAGTATCAAAAACATTTAGTTTGTCATGCCACTTCATATCAAGATTTTAATTACCATCTTGTAGAGGAGAATACTTGACAATGTTGTTGTACCTTTTATTTTGAAATGCTATTTCAAATAAACCCAGAAAAAAATAAAAACTGTTTTAGGAAAATTCGGTTTCATTCTCCCATCCAAGTGTAATTTTCTTAGTTCCTTAAATGCACAACTTTGCTCTCAATCAAGCGACTTGGTATCGCTTACCGTTTCCGCGATGCTAATGGTGAGAATCGAATACCCGGAATATAGTAATCAGTTGTCATAATTAATGCTATTCCTTTCAAACTTACCTTCTTTTTCTGATACCGGTAAGCTGACAACCACCTTAGCAGGTATGCCGGCATTCACAGTACATGTAAATGCATTCAATGGCATCTTGAAACTATCATTCGCAGTATCAGAAAATGAGAAATTGATTTAAATACTTCATTTGCTAATATGTTATCTTCAGTTTTATGCAGACAATCGGGGTTAGCTACGTCTTTAAAACTGTGACCGAATCTGGTGGCCACTTTTCCAAGACTTTTTGTGGCTAGAAAGGGACCACACTTTCGCAAGGTTAGTAGTATGCTTATGTCCGAATATGTAAGTGAGTGATTTTATTTCTCGAAATCTGTATACGTTCTGCTTCTACTGCTGGACGGTCGCCGCTTTCAAAACGAACTTTCATTAAGTCGGAAACGCTCTCAAAGGGATTATTGGCCGAGGGCCAATGCAAAAACACGCCCCAAAGATGATGAAAGGGTTCTATGGCTCCTTTTCGTTGATTTAATGAATCTGGAGTCGCAAGCTGCCTATTAAAATTGGTGTTAAAAGTACGAAAATATTTGTACAAAATACATAAATTAATTAAAATCAATTATCCTTGATTCGCTCTGCTTGTTTTCCGAATACTGTTCCAGATTCTACAGGACAATCGTTCAAACTTAGTTTTTTGACGTTTCAGACTCTCCTGATCATTTTCAGAAATATTTCTATACCAGGTAATAATTGAGGGGCTGTAAGGGGTGGGGAAGGATATATCTTCATTTTTGATGTTGTATATTATTATAATCCCGGTAATTTTCGCACCTATCAGCCATATTTCACATGTCATAAGTCATCCCGTTCTCGATAGGCGGCTCCATCTGCTATCTGGGCTCACCGCCTGACGTAACGATCTGTTTCGCTCATACTGCAGTGGTGCCGCGGTGGGTGCTAACCGCAGCTGACTATAGTTTGGCAAACGGACCTGCGACATCGGGGTATCGGTGAGGGGAAAGCAAAACATGGCTGGTTCCATTCATAAAATGCCAGCGGCGTGCGGTATTTTATAAATGTTTGGGATTATTTCATAATTGGTTCATATTTAGTAAACTATACGTTTATGTTTCACTTTAAATTTGGGAAGTATCTCAATAAGCCCACAATGATATGGAGCATTGTCCATAAATAATAAATAAAGTCTCGGGTAAAATCAAAAAATAGGTGTTCTCTACAGTCTACACCATGTAAAAAAACACTTGAGTTTGTTTCTACACTTCAACAAACGGAAAAATGTCTACTCACTTCCCAAAATAGCCACAATTCAAAAAATCATGATAACTGCGCGATTTAAAACCTAACTTGAAAATCAAGCTAGCGGTTTTGTCAAAGCCGTAAATAAAATATATTTTTCAAATACAAATAGATACTTAACGTGGTTTTTTACCTTGAGAATATATATATATATATATATATATATATTATACATCCGTGATCTTATAATATGCTCATTTACTTTAAAAAGTGCCACAGCCGAAACATGACCAGTATTAATTTTTATTTATAATTCGCATCTTTCTGGATTCCTATTGTTGCAATTTTGGACTGTTGATGCGGATATTTCTAGAGCATCGGTGTCGCTTAAATAGAAACAAAGAGCTTTAAACATATTTCATATCCGTTTAACTTATAACCTCTGTAATAAATAATACTTACATTATACAGCATTTCAAAATTACATTTCACCTATTGAATTAGCATTGGTGTTCGTCAACTTCATCATTATCATCATCGTCACTGTCGTCATCAGTTTCGCTGTCGTCATCTTGCCCTATAGTTATTATAAATGGTTCCATTTCCTCCATAAATTGATCATTTTCCCAAAATTTATCTCAATGTCCCAAACATGTTGACCAAATGTCTGCCAATCATTTATGGATATTAAGGACATCGCTTCCTGATTAACTTCTTTCAGTGCGGTTAAACTGAAGTTTCAGTGGTATTGCGGCTTCTATATGAAATTTAAGCTTTGCCCAAGCTAATTCTATTGGGTTTAGCTCGCATAAATAAGGAGGTGTTCTTAGAGGAGTATGTCATGTGATCTTATGATCCGATCAACTACATAATTTTTTTGGTTGTCAGGGGGCTTATGAAGTAAGACCAGATCGAACAAGTCATATTTCCTGGCAGTTGCCTCATGTTTTATGCCTATAAAATATTTTTTGTATAGTTTGATATGTACATGCATGGTTTGAGTCATAAGTACCTTTTTCTTGTCAACCAGGCCATTATATCTTTTTTCGAAGATGATTTGTCGGGGTTTTAATCTTCCTGGACGAATGATATGGAGCAGCGTGTGAAATTT